GGCCACACAGCTGTGTTGTGATGGGACAAACAAGCTCGAACAATCTCATGGGACAGCAGCTGGGAGCTCCCATGAGACAACGGCAGTGAATGCGATGTGTTGCGTTGCGTTGCGTCTCCGCAGCACGAGAACAATCGACCCGATTAAGAGGAGCAGATGGATAGTCGCAAACGCAAAGACGCAGGAGCCAGGATAGCGAGCGGTACACGGGGAGTGTTCGAGATAGAAAGGGCATCGCAAGCTGAAGAGTGCTGAAAAGAAGCCTTTACTAACCATGTGGCTACGGGTCTTGCCATGATGACGTCTCTCGAAGCCATTGTCGTCGCCGCTGGCCGCATCAGGCTTCAGGTGCGAGGGTAAAGCGCTCTTTACTACGCCAGCCATTTTGTACGTATAGTTCTCGTGCTTCGGGGTATCAGGTGTGGCTCGAGGTCACTCGTAGAGTTTGGGGGAGGAAGCTGTCAAACCGACTCTTTTCACAGCAATTCGGTTGGAGAGTGAATGGGAGGTTTAGGAGTAATGAAGGACGATGAAGGTTGGAAATGTCGACAATAAGTGATGCCAGGGAAGGCGGGGCAGGGGGAGGTGGGGGGGAGGAGCTAGGTCACTTATTTAAAGAACTTGAAGATTGGAGCTCCAGTCTCGACTCTGGTCGGGCCTGGATAGTATTGAAAGTACCAAGTGAGCAGTGAGCTTCAGCTGGCCCCTACTTGGCGCTCTTTACGGAGTACTCGGTACGCATTGCTGGTGCAGAATCAACCAAACAGTCAGTACCGAGTACACAGTACTCACTGCTGGTCAACAATTGTGGTTCCCTCCCTACCCCCCCGGTTGCCTGCCAGCATCTCAGCGTTGGAGGTATCCACTAACAGACTTTTTGTGGGGAGGCGGCGGCAGCAACGACTGGGAACCGGGAACTGGCGACAGCGTCCAGGCCTCCAAGTTGCTCCCAGACTGCGGGAGCAGTGCTGAAGCAGTGCTGGAGGAGCACCGGGGACCAATAGACCAGACGGCACTGGGTACTTAAGTATTTACTCCAGCGTGGCATGTACATTCGTTTTGGAGCATCCATCGGTTTGCATGCATCAATGGGCGACGACTCTGGAGAAATCTCAGCAGCCGCAAAGAGGGGCAAAAGGTTGACGTCAGAAAGGGGAACCTAACGAGCACAATGATGTACATCCAGCACCGGATGATCGTTTCATTGTTCGAGCCAATGGCCATGGACAATGGACCCTTTACGGAGTACACCGTTGGCAATGACGAAAAGGGGCGCAATCTCTCTCCAACCTCCCACGGTTGGCATGGAGGTGGTGAGCCGTGTCCGTATTCTAACTAGAAGGGAGGGTTTATTCTAAAGGTACATGTATCCATGTACTCGAATAGTACTTGTTAACAATGGCGAGCCATGCCCATCCTGGACTGAAAACAGGTTTGCTCCATCAGGAACCCCTTGCTAATACGAGAAGAAAAAAAACTAGAAACGCAATATTAATTTATTTTCTATCGCTTTTTTTTACTCCTTCCCCGCCACATCGCAATTTTCCCAGCCATCTGACTCATTAAAGCTTCCTGGCTTTTGTTTAATCGCCCATCCCCACCACCATGGGGTCAAAAACGACATTGCAATAAAACGAATAAACGGGCCCAGGATGCGATTGATCCCGATGATACCATCTCGCAGCTCAGCCTTCTGGAGGGACCCCCCACGCCGCCCTTGGGCAAATGCTGGCCAATGGATTAATTGATGTGCTTTATCCTGGTGCATCTACGCTGTGGCTGCCCAGAGCAAGTCAGTCACTCGACGTCGTTCATCTTGGTGAAATGCGCCGCCATCGTGTTCATCGCAGTACATGTGCAAATAGCATCGTGTCGGGTCGGTATTGCAGAGTCTCTAGCTTGGTTGAATGAGTGCACACACATACATTCGCGGACTCGCCGCTGCAAGGCACGGCCAATGCTGGGCGCGCCATCTCGAACCATCGAAAGCCCAACAAATTGCAAATTCGAAGCCATCTGCCCGACTAGCTTCGGTGCAAGCTTCAAGCCATCGATGGATAGAAAAATTTTGCACAGGCACAGGCACAGGCACAGGCCCTGACTTGATCACTTTCGTCTTTCTCGCCCAACAACTCCTCCGTACGCAACTCCAAATCGCGAAGCAAGTCGTGGTGTTGTGGTCCTGGGAGCCTACTCTGCATGGTAGCGCTTCAAAACCTGATTGGACTCGTTTCCCTATCCTCACAAGTTGAGCGTCCAGGGGGAAATGAGAACAATCTAAACAGTAATGCGTACATACATCAGCCATCCAACTGCCCCAATTTTTCGACTGCGTCAATTATCACTGATCCGGTGGCGCAGCAAAATGCACACTCCGACGTTCCTGGCCGAAGAGAAATTGAAAACGAGGCTATTTTTGCTGCCGCTCGAGACGAGAATTAAATCAATAATCTCGCGTCGCCTCCCAGCCTTGCCATATCTGTCCATCATCTCAGGGGCCGAAGCGGAATAATAAAATTGGCAACCAGAGCTCCAAGGTGGCTGGCTTGGTTGCCCGGGGGGGTTACTGAGTGCTGGAGTCCTTACTAGTACATCTAAGTACATTGCAGGGCCGGCCTTTGATCAAAGTGTTGCGTCGAGGCTCGTTGTCCATTCTGCAGTGAGGCCGTGACAGACTGAATCTGCTTCCTCTCATTTTCACAAGTGTACGGAGTAGTAGTCCTACTACTACGGAGTACGTCCATCTCATCTACCGAATACTTGGTAATTCGCAGCATTTGTTGCACGTACCGACTACTTACTTTGTACAGGGTGTAGAGTACGTACTTAGTACTTAGGTACTTCAGTACTCGGTGACATTTAATTGAGGGCCACTATTAATAAGTTCTGACAGTCTCGATTCTAGAAGCCACCTCACCGGAAGCTGATCCCCGGACACGTGGGGGCTGCATTGGCCAAGTCGAAATCGCCCGGCCTGGGCCGTGTAAAAGAGCCATGAGATCCCGTCTGCAACATCAACATGCAGGCTGGTCGTGTAAATGAAATGAGCACAGATATATATTGAATTTGCAGCGAGTGCCAACGTCACGGACTCGCCAGGGGCAGGACGTTAGTCTACTCAATGCCAAGACCTGTAGGCAGACCGTCTTCTGTTCGTAGCGGAATGCGGGCATCTGTATTCTGTATGGGGTACAGTTGTTACTCTCCTGATAAAATTGATTCTGCTTTTATACATACTTCTGCATGAACACGCCAACATTCTGCCAAATGAAGCATGAACTACTGCCACTGGCCACTGGCTGGTCAGGCTTAGTCATCCTTAGTGCGGACCGAGAACGACGTTGCATCCGTCTTCTCCATTGGCCGTTCCATCAAACAACAACATGTCTCTCGTCATGTTGTTGGCATGCAGATGGTCTCATGGCTTGTCCAAAAAGAGGCATCTTTGCCCATCACCAAGCGCTCGTTGTCGGGCCATGACTCGGTCGGGCATCTTTTGTTCACAGTCCAGCGATGCGTAATCGCGGCATCGACGTCGCTTCATGTGAAGTTTTCGGCCAGTTGCTTCTCTCCCCAAGGGCTAGGCATAAATGACTCCAGACCGCATCTCTTTTGCTCTCTGCAGTTTATCCTAGCCTTATTTTCATCTCATTGCCCCCTTGATCAGCACAGCAATCTCGGCCGGTATTTGCGGAAACGATCAGCATTAACGTCGTTGCATATATCCGCATAACCAGGGCGGGCATCCGTATCCACTCGGACCGACGTCCTCCCTTCACAGCACAGTCTTCTCCGTACATACAGTTGTGACAACTTGCCTCGACACTCAACTCTTCATCCTTTTTGCCTCGAGATCTATCCCATACCAGCCCGTCCAGACAGACAGTCTCATCGCCATGGGTTCTCTCCATGTCATGCCCTTTTGGCAGGTCAACTGTCCTCCTCATGAGTTGACTGCTGAGTGCCCCCCATTTCTCGCCCTTCTCAACGAAAAGGACCGCCGTATTGTTGGTATGCCAGATTCCGCCTTTAAGCTCCTCACATGGGAGCAGGTCTGCGGGATTGTTCGAGAGAACCGTCTCGAGGCCTTCCAGAGAACGCCCTCGGATCTAAGACGCTACAAGGCTTTCACTTTCAGACTGGCCAAGCAACACGGCAGCGTTGCTAGCTTCATTCTGCAAGAACGATTGCGGTGGCAGGCTCCTATCCAGTCACGAGGGTACCCTTTTCAGTACGCAGAAGACGTAAAGATTCTGTGGAACGACTGGCCCTACGGATTGGACAAGCGAGTCGTCCATCTTGTTGTGTGGACCAAATTTGAGCTTGAGGCCAATCAAACCAGTGGTGACTTGACCGACAAGGCGAAAGCAGAGGTTGACGCGTTTGTGACCAGGACATTCCGAACACGGGTCCCAGCAGAGAACGTACGTATCAAGGTCGAGCAAACCAAACCCCGCTCAGGCGTCTGCAGATAACGCTCCTGGGTGCTAACTCCCCCCTTCCTTTGACAGGTTGTGTGGTTCAGGAATTGGGCTGCGCTCAAGTCCATTCACGCTGTGGAACACTTCCACGTCATGATGTATGATCCTGACCCTGAGTTTGTCCGCGAGGTAACCAATGGCGACGTGGCCCTCTCTGCAAAGGCCGATTTGTAAAATGGCAAAGAGCCTATCAAAAAAAAAAAGCCGGTTGCCGCTCTTTTTGTTTGTCCTTTGGAGGCGTTTAACGGGCACAGCAGGATTTATTATAACCCGTAGAGCGATGTTTGATAACATTTGGACTGGAAGGCGTTCTAGAGACCTAGGCTATTTATTACCCTAGAACAAGCGAAATATATAGATACCCACGGCATTAGAAGACATGTTTAGACTGTGCATAGGTTAGGCATATGCATGTGCTGCTACGACGGTGTCGTCATCCAGGCCATGTAAATCAGTTTTTAATTTTCTATGTCTGTTTTTTTTATAATCTTTTACTTACTTTACTCACACACCATACTTTCACCGCGGAACCACGTCCTCCCCGGGAACGACGTCGTTTGTATTTATGCGCAACTCCACACACGGAGCATCCGCAAACACCACAGCAATGGGCTTCTCAACCGCAATCCCGAGCTGCCAACCCTCCCCATCCGCCGGCGGCGTGTGATTCCGAACCAAGTGCGTCGTGATACGCAGAGCCATATCCGCCAGCAGGGCCTCGATTGTCTCAAAGGACGAGTCTGTCATGGCCTTGGGCCCCCAAAAACAAGTCAGCTAGCAGAACCGGCTTCGCGGGTAGAAAAACGAATCACAGGGGGGGTTGTCCTCCCGACATACCTTGGCTATCACGTCTTCCAGGGCGCAGTAGCAATCGCGGGCCTCGTCAAACCGGTCCACCTCGACGTTGGCCACGACGCCCTGCTTGGCGCGCCTCTCGTTGGCATTCACCCCGATGAGGATGGGGATGCGCAAGTCGCACAGCGCCAGCTTGATGCCGCGCGCCGTCATGGCCCCGCGGGCAAACGCCGCCGTGGCCGTCAGGCACACGCCGGCCCCTTGCAGCGTGGCCTTTGGCAGGCGAAGCCCGACCTGGAGGCTCTTCACGGACGCGAGCTTCAGGAACGGCGGGCCCTGGGCGGGCGAGGCGGGCTGCTGGCCGGACGTGTCGACGCCCGTGAGGTCGGTCCATATGGTGTCGAGGATGGCTGGCAGCGTGAGCTGGCGGCCGCTGCTGGTGCCCTGGGCGCCGCCGAGGCGTGCGAGCGTCGCGAGGACGGCCTTGCTCAGGAGGCCGTAGTGCACTGTGTCGGAGGCGAGGGCGTCCGACGTCGACGTTGGCCCGAAGGACTGGGCCATGCCGACGGCGACGGATACGGAGATGGGCTGGGGGCGGTCTTGTCGCCCCCAGGCGTCGCTGGGGCCTTGGATGGTGGATTGGATGTTTTGGACGCGGACTGTGGCGGGCGGTTCGCCCGTGGCGAGGAGCAGAGAGTGCGAGGTTCTGATGGGTATTGACATGGTGGTGAGGGAACGAGTGTTGTCGTTTCTTGTGAGTTGGGAGTTGGGGGTTGTTGATGCAGATTGTTGGCGACGCAGGAGGAATGGGACGTTTGATATGATGTTGTGAGTTACGAATTCATCTTTTTATCTTTTTTTTTGTGAGCCGGCGTGGAGCGGTGACGAGGCTTTTGAAGTTCTTGTGATGAGTGAGAAGGGAGTCATAATTCCATGTTTGCTAGTGGGGCATTTTGTGACGTTGCCAATACACACGGATTCGTCCAATGTACAGAATCCAAGGGAACTGGCCTTGATTATGCCACGGATTGAGTGTTGGCACTGGATTCTATTTTCTTCCAATTATGCCTGCTGCGTTGGCCATTTTATGTCGGAAAGGTGTACGGTTGGAGATGACTAGTCGTACGTAAAACAACATACCCTATAGCACATGTTTGGCCGCAAAGGCATGTCGGAGGAAATTGGAAAACGGAGACTTATTATCTCCAGAATACACAGATGCTGTATGCGACGTGGAGGGATTTGGTCAGACATACATTTATAATATACTGCGGCTGGTGGTGTGTAAATAGTGGTGAAAAGTGAAGGGCACTCGGTTTTGTAGGGAGGAGGAATGGTACGATTGGTTTGAGAAAGTTACTACTACTGTATTATAGAATGTCTTGATGCATACGGCATACGTGGACAAGTTCATCCGCCAAAGCCAACGACTGCAGGTCGCATTGCCATGTCGTGATAACCCAAGTTGCGTCAATACCTAAGGTCATTAAGCCGCGTAACTACTCTGTTAATTAGTATATAAAGGGCCAACATTCAAGACACCTGCCTGTCTCTCCTTGAAAGAAGAGGAAGCACCGGCAGTGGTAGTCTGCTTCGCCGGAGTCAAGGAGGCTCGACTGGTGTTGGAGCCCGGACAGAATAAGGGCCGGGTAAGAGCAGCAGAGATAGAGGAACACCATCTACCATAATAACGACGCGCTCTATCAAAAATAGGTTAGCAAGAAGGTCAGATTTATCGCAGAAATCTACACTCACCCCATTAATTGGACCATTCGGAAAGGTCAAGTGATATTGAGTCGGTCAACCAGAAGCCGTGTCGGGAACTGCCGCGATACTGGCGGCAAACGGACGAGCCTCCATACTCAGTACTTCATCCAAACTAATGACCGAATTCTTAGCAGGAAAATCGCAAGTCAGCCAAAAATCGACCCGATTCCCGCCAGGTACTCACAGGAAGTCGATAGCTACAGGGGCGAATAGGGTATTACTTACCAGGCATGGCATCGATTTCCTCTAGATTCAATGCTGTTGCCTCGATTAAATCACCAGTTACAGGGCCATGTAACGGAACCCGCTGTATTCGCTGGTGACGAATATGACCATCGTAAACCGACGCTGGAACATTATCTATACTAACTATAGGGTTAGCCATTTAACGTATTATGACTAGCAAAAAGAATAGTACTCACGCCACTCTGATATGGTGCCTCACACGTAACTGTGTAGGCTTTGATATGCTTTGTGATTTGCGTAACTTGATAGGGTAATGCATATTAGTATATATTAGTATACAGCCCAATACTATGTTATCAGATTTTACGCTTGCACGATACTCGTATCATGCTTGTAATTTCACTTGACTAATGATCGTTACAATTCACACCTTAATATATTGATATATATTAGTATATATTTAGTAGAAAAAGTAAAGCCCGCCCAGCAATTCACGTCAGAAACTCGTATCACGACAAAACCAGAACTGCTACAACCAGGCAAACACAATAGCAACTCGCCTCGGCATAAAATTAAACACTCTCTGCAGCCCGACCCTGAAACACCCCGTTCTGCTAGCTACACGTCCATCAACGTCAGGACAGCGGAGCGCCGGCCGTAACGTCGCAACGCCGACGGAACGGGCCCAGGTCGTGATCGGCACGGCTGCAACATGGTGCTCCGTGTGATTTGCGCAACTCGGCACGGCGGTTTGATGATGATGTTCTCGAGCGATGCGCACGTGGTTCATGCCATCCGCAGGACAGACTAGGTTCCCGCTTGTCAGATACTTCGCGATGCAAGGATGCCGGATATGAAAGTTGCTGCCGTTATGCGCTCCTCCAACTCGCGCGGCACCAGCCCAAATCCTGCACAAGAGCAATAACAGTTGAAGCAGACGCACCATGATCCCATTCCCGAGCCAAACGTTTCCCAAACCACCCCCTACCCATGAACCACGCCCCTGAGGCGCAAGTGGAGAAGAGTCATCCGTTGCCTCGCGTCGGGCATGATGCCCAAGTGAGCCAAGGTCGCCGTCTCTCCCACAGTGTGGCACCCTCCTTCTTTCTTCTTGCATTGGGACATGTTGCCTCTTCCAAGTCTTTTGTTTCTCGGCGCAAACAAGCAAACAAGCACAATCATGCATGGCCAACCCACCGGCACGGCCCCCTTGTCGCCCTCGACTCCGTCCCAACTCGACGGGCGATCGGCGCAAACGACAACCATGTACAATGTACGTATGTAGTTTGTAGATAATTCCGTTTGGTGCGCTTTTGAGCATCCCTGGGCAAGGTACCAAAAGGGTCCATGTGCGGTCTCTTCCGGATAAAGAAGCTCAAGATGCTATCCGCCATTCTCGAAGCCTCTTGGCCCCAAGGGCGATCGGCACAGCAAGCTAACCAGAGTCTGGTGTCTCCACACACAGGTCGATAGTCCGCGACCATGAGAAAAGCTTCCAAATTGTTGGTGACGTACCGGCCATGCGTGCCTTGACGTGAGTCCCCAGCGTAGGGACCACTGGCCATGTCGCGCTCCCGGGGTAGAATTGTACATGCTGCTATTCCAAAGAAGCTATTTTTTGCCTCGGCCACCAAGCATTGGCATGTAGCCGTCGCTCCCTCACGGAGTCACAGATCCAAAGACCCTTGTTTCGGCACGCGCAGGAGGAACTGTGTAGCCCGCGTACATGGTGCCGGGGCCTGATATCCAGACGGATCATCACAATGAACTTTTTTTCTTCTTTGCGAATCTGCAATTTCGAGCTGTTGAGACAGGGCCGCAAATGTACCAGCAACATGGAATATGCCGTGTTTTGAACCCGGCCTCTGCCCAAATGCAGATCGAAACGGAATATTCCAGTCGACCATTGACGTGAAATAAGCCACGGCGTCCAGGGCAGCAGCGGCCCTGGTCAGGTGGTTTTGAAAAGCGGCAAGAGCATCATGCTAAGCATTGCCAAACCGGCCCAAGTTGATCCGGAAATAACGCCACGCCTTGTTTAGGAAAAGAAAAAGTCACACGGTCAGCCTCCAGCTTGTAGCGTCATCATCACATGGACTCGAAATATCCACAATTGATAAACTAAAACTCTGTACTCCGTACCACGTCTACTACGTCCTTCTAGCTACGTATGTACTACTGAAGCAAGTATGGACGCTGCAACGGCAATTCCGCCATTTCCACCGTGTTCTGAAGGCTCCTCAGGAGCTCGATACAAGGCACAATGGAGCCGTTGGTGAGGTTGACGACTGTTTTCCCGGCAAAACGATGGAACCCTGTCGAGGGTCTTTGTAGATGGCGTCGTGGTCGAGCACGCAGACCATGACCGGCCCTCCACTGCGGCTGATGGCAATCTCGGCGTCTTGTTCCAATTCGGCTCCGAGTTCCATGACTTTGTCGACTTGGAGACGGTGCCTTTTTCTGTTCAAGATAGTCGTCGAATGGCCGGCCTTGTGCAATGTCTGCGCGAGAGCATTGCCCATGTTGCCGATGCCGATGAAAGTGATATGTTGGGGAGCCATTTGTCGTCGGTCGAATCTTGTGGTAGGTTTTCCGTGATATTTTTCTTCCTTTCTTTGGTATTCTTTAGTATCGTATTTTAAAGTCTGTGATTTTGATTGCCATCATTGCCATCATTGTCGACTTTGTCGTCTGGACTCTCCTATTTATTCTCCAATACAAGTCACGTCGAAAACCAGCTTGTGCCTCGTTTCCTTCGACTGTTCCACCGAAAAACACGTTTGCAAGCGAGTGGGCTGAGACTCTAGATGAACGATTTACAATCCTCTTGACGGCTTCGTCCTGTTCATAGCTTGGGCTAAACGCCACTAGGAAATTCACAATGTTAGAAATACAGACACCAATGAGTTACACCGTAGGAGCAACAGAGCTCCGATGTTAAACACGCAACGTCATCGCCATAACCACGGCCGATATCAAAGTCCGCACTGCGGAGTCATTACACTTGCTGCAGTCGAGAGCCAACACGGCCTGATGCTTACAACTCCGAGGCTGCAAACCGCAAGCTATTCTATACGAGAGGTACGACTGGACGTTTCCGCATAGTTTGGACATTCTATGGATGCAGCGACACAAAAGGGTGGACTTATTGGGGGCGTACCCTCCTCCAGCAGCGACTACAACGAGCTTGGCCTTGGTGTGACTGCGGCATAAGTTTGAGTTATCCTCCAGCAGTTCGTGAGAGGCCGAATTAAGCTTTTTCCTACGGGGCGAACTGCCACACTAGCTTCGAAAGAACAGTTTGCAAATGAAATTAGTATATACATATGCATACATATATGTAGTAATAAAGCTCAGGTGGGTCTCTGGTGTTGCCGCGTCCGACAAATTTTGTTTATTGTGAGCATATATTAGTGACGTCTACTCGATCATTTGGCCCTGTTCCTCAAGTCGAAATATACATGAGACTGCGGGCGGTCCGAGGCATTGACACCACAGTGACAAACTGTCCTTGGCAATGTTCATCCTCGTTTGCGGGTACTAGTCCATAAGACCCTACTATGAAGGCTGACAGATCTTCCCTGAACCAGGGCCAGGGCTCAAGTTCCACTCGAGTCTGAAGACTTCCGCCGTGTCCCAAACAACTGGTTCAGTGGAGAGAGCTGCATGTTCGTTACTCTGGTGGTGGATTCGCCGCCTCAACGAACGAATAGGAGGATGGGTGAGAGCGGGTGAAAGACGATTAGACATGTTGTTGTGCTAATGCGGAAATTGGCACTTTATCGATTTATAAATCGAGGTTTTGTTGAATACCTAGTCTCGTCAATGCTTTCCAAGGATGGGTACGCTTCGAAATGAAAGTCGGTATGGGGATATGATAGACGTTAGGTAAACGCTACTTTCCCGGCACCCTTGTGCTTGAACCAGGATATCATCACAGAAAAAAACAAAATGTCCTCCCCTCTTTTTGACAGAGGGGTAGGGTGACGACTGGGAAACGACAACAGAACCAGCTAGGGAAAAAAAATTAATCCTGGAAGCTTCCTGGGCACAAGCCCCCTCAGCACATGCAGAACTGAGGCATGCTTGAACCGATTGAGACGGGAAGGCTCTAGTCAGCACCAACGTGTTGACAGGCAAGGGCCTTTCACACTCCCTGCGGGTGGACTTCTTAACACCACATTGTATTAACCGGGATACTAATGGCGTGCGAGATTCCACCATCCCGTTCCGGATGGTAAGGTGAGCATTTGGTCTCCTCACAGAGTATGCGACAATCCGCACGAAATGGCCCGTTGTCGCCCCAGCTCCGCCGGAGGAACACCGAGAGGAGCATTGCCTTGAAACGCGAACCTGAGACCTGGCATCATGCGAAACAACCTGTTCGATTCTTGGTACTACTGTGTTGTGCTTCTTCACAGAGTAAAACACAACCGGAACTTCTGCTACAAAAAGCCACAAAAATGCCAGCCAAACTGGTCTAGCCAGGAAGAGAATATTGGTTAACAAGGAACCTAGCTGGGTTAGCCACTGCAGAGCATATGGGATTTGACATTCAATAGCCTTCATAATCCTTTTAGAGGCATGCGAGCAAGTCATGGCGGTGCGATTTTTGCCGCATCAGACTCACATGCTAACGCGAACAGAAAGGTCCCGAGTTAAGGTGGCCAGTGTGCAATTTAAAAAAGAGCTATTGTAATCAAGCCATGTCTAAAGGGCTATGAAGAGCGGGGAATTAATCAGATCCCTTGGTTTCTTACAGAGTACCAGGTTAGTACCTTTGTTTAGCATAGAACTTTGAATATGATTTGCAGTTTGGCGGCTCCTTTGGCGGCTACTTGATTGTCGTATCGCCATGAAGTGTTGTTGTAATATATGTTGTAAGGCTGGGTTGCATGAGTAACTGTAGTTGGGTTTCATTCGACGGATGTAATAAAGATGTAGTTACCACAAATCGACTCAAAATGTAACGGGCTTCTGGAAAAAAGTCCTGTGCCTTCTTTCAAAATTCACCTGACCCAAATGACGTTATCCAGTCTTAAAAAACCGGGGTAAACCAGGGATCGGTCACCACACTCGCGATGTATTTTTGGGGAAGGAGACTTGGACACAAGGTTTATTGAGGACAGCATGGATGTAACAAGTCGTACGCCATCTCATGAGGACTCTCCTCATGATTTGGATGTTGATGAAAGTGGAGCAGTGGCTTGCAGACCCTAGAATATTGAAATGCACAAGCCTCGCATTTTCACGCGCACCGAGGCAAATGAGCGCAAGTTTGGGGAGCGAGGAGTGTTGTAAAGCATGTGCCAGTGTCCGGCAGATCAAGCTGCCAGAGGCCAGAGGTCTCTGGACCCGGGGTGAAGAGCCGCAAGTGGTCGTGGTAAACGAGAGTCGCCACGGATGCAGCAATGGTTTGGACGAATTGACAGGTTGAACGTTCGGTTGTGGGCTGATATCTTGACTTGGCTGCAACACGAGCTCCTTGTTTCGAAATTATGGCACTTCAGACGAGTTGACAGGCGGCTTGATACTGAAACCTCTGCTGCGTAGCATGATGCCGCCTCGTCTGAAGAAGAATAGAGTCCTAGGTCAAGCGTCGATTGGGACATCCGAAACAATGTCATGGTCTCAAGTCATTGGCGAGGCCAAGTCTGGTTGCCAGAAGGAGCGCTTCCCCGGATTCATGCGTGTACAGTACGGAGCACGCACCGCGCGAAAGGACATCTCACAATTTTTTGCCGCGAGATAACATGGGTAATCATGGCATCGAACGATGCTAGCCCGCCAAGTAAGATGTGCATGGCCGAAAGCTGAATGTCCAACCAAGTAGAAGACTGTCCTCAAAGTTCCTCACGCTGTCAGAGAGCAGCTGAGCGTTGAGCCAATGGATGCTGAGCAGAACACATGCAACTATGTGGTTGTTTGTGGGGGAGAGCCAATTGCAATCGTGGCAAGGACACGAGCGTCGGTTCGAAATGACTCGAGTTACATGTGTCCGCGTGGGAGTTGGAGGACGCGAAAGAGTGATGATGAGTAAAAAATCAAATCATATTTGCAGACGGACCAAAATGAACGTCTCGGGGCGCTTGGCTCGTCGCTTCTATAGGTAGATGTTCCTTCCCAGAACCCAGCTCGCGCACCTGAGGCTCTCAATGGAGGGAAGGCACCGATACGGCCGACCAGTCAGCGTGCAACTTACGCATGCAGTTTTTGACCAGTGACAGGTTGTGCCTGGGCACCATACGCCGTGTCTTAGCCGCTGGGGCGCTCTTCAACTGGTGGCAGCTTGGAAATGCTGAACCTGACTGGACAAAACATTGAAACTACTGCCTTCTATCCCACCGCACTGGCCTATGAAGAGAGCATTGGCAGCCTTTTTGCCACTTTCTCGCAGTCCTCCACGGATCAATATCGCCGCCTCGTATATTCTGCAAATAAAGTTAAAGGAACGAAAGAACCTCCCCGCTTGGAGAGCAAGGAAACATGCCAAACTGGGTGTCCCTTGTCTTGAGGCAGCGCTGAAGGGGCTCACAATCCGATAATTGCAGTCTTTTCAAGAAACATCGACAATAGAATGGGACCTGACTGGGAGAACTAGCAGCGCCACCAAATGCAACTTTGGGTTCAGGAATGCCTTTTTCCCCATCACGGTTTGTATATGTATGTCTCTGCGAGTATGTTCTCCCACATGGGAGTGACTAGGAAACGGAGTATCGGGAACTCTGGCATACAAGGTATGTGCAGACAATGGAGTTGCTACTTAACCTTCGAGGTGGAACTCAAGCCGTATTAGTGCTGATCGGGATCTGAGATACCAAGACGACTTGATCGCGGTTATTGAACTTTGTTTCTCGCGGCCTGTTTCAACCCCATCCCAAGGCCAAAGCGCGCCCGCCAATTTCTGGCTAGGGAGTACCCGCACTGCGATGTCACAAAGAAGAAAACCAAAAAGCAAATTGTAAGGGACATCTCTCGGCCGGAAGCTGATACTACCAAACTACCAGTTGACCCTGTCTCCGCATTTGAAATTGGGACAAAGTCCCCGGAGCACAGGATAGTGCGGAGGGACACGACGCTGGGTCACCACATGCATGTCTCACAAAAATACTGCTGAACTGCACAATACACGCGTAGTACGGAGTACTCGGTAGTCTCCAGCGGCTCTTCTCACGGTCGAGCTGGTGAACACCTTAGGTACCTGCAGCTACTTTGTTCCTGCATCAGGGACGGGGCATAAGGGAGACGTTGCGGAGTGGTCGCCCGAAAAGCAATCAAGTATTGACAACGCGGGCTGCCAACCTCTTTCCAGGAAGTGGCTGGGCCAAGAAACATTGAATGGCCAAATGGTGCCGAGGAATTGGCATGTTTTGCTCCGGATAACTCCTAATTGCCCTTTGGGCGCAGCGGGGCGCATATATACTCTATCATGCATGAATTACTATCATAGCACCGCCGAGCCATGAGCGGTGATGGGCTACGGGGTACTCCGTAGACCGATTACCTACCTGCCTGATGACAACTATCGATGACGACTCATGTATGTACGGAATAGCCACCATGGTATCTACGATTGGATAGTTTCCAACCAACAGCGCTTTTTTGTTGTCGTACCAGCACAGGCCCTCGAGCGCTGGCTGCAGCTTATGCGACCCCATGTTGGCCACTTCTACTGGGTCCTGACAAAGCCACCCATTGAATGGACTATTGTCAATCCGCAGATTCCATGTCAGTTGTTGTTGTACAGGAACGGAGCGGCGAATTCAGACTTTGACGGTTTGCTGGACGAGGACTCGAGAAGGCGATTCAATTCGTGGTTCCAGCTCGGTTCTCCATGAAGTCTGGCCTGGTGCTCTGGAGCATCACGACGTTGCCTCATCCACCATCAATCGACGCCTCTGGCTCATGCAGCACCAGCCCACCACTGTTGGCCCAGCACACCAGTTGACCCTATGTACGACATGGGCCGCGTGGTTACACTGCACTGCGCACGAATGCCATGCACGAATGTTGTGGCGGCGTCCGAATTTGGCCCAGACGTTGTACGGAGTAGAGACTAGAGACACTCGAGCTGCCCCCGTCGGGTCTTCAACTGGTGCTTGGCAGACTTGGCACCTGCCTGCTAGCTCCAACTTCACGACATCTGGATTCTCGAAATCATCTTGCCTTGCCCGTCTCGCCTCGTCGGTCTTGCCAGACGAGTTAAATCCTTCCAGTCAGCTCTCCGGCAGTTTGCACAAATGCTGATTACCTGCTGCCAGCCCTTGTACCGGTTCTTCGATGTTGACGCTGTACGGAAGACGGCGAGTATTTACTATGGCGCTATGCTCGTGTCTATTGTATTAAATTGCGGGCATGTGTCTCCTTGTTCCTCGCCCTACGAAAATACACATGGTATCCCATCCTTTGCGGCTAACACACGGTTAGATGCTGAAGGAAGCATCGACCTTTTCATTTGACAGAAGCTTAGGAATCTGTCAGGGCATCTCCCCAGATGGCGTTGCGCCTCATCGTCACTATGCGGAGCTCGGTTTCGCCATGGCAGTATTGCACCGCGATTGGAGGCGCGTTTGAAGCACAAGCCATACATATTTGGGGGACCTTGTGCTTCCACTCTTCTTCTGTCCTGTCCCGCCTCGTCCTGTCAGGGGCTCGGAGCTGCAGCCAACTGGAGAGCTGCTTTGTTGCTTCTTTGGAGGTCATGTTGCCCCTCGGCCCGCTTCGATCAGTTCAAATCGCCTATTCCTCTGGTTCAGCTCCGTCAAAAGCTCCTCCAATCCAACCTAGCCATCTATCACGATATGATTGCACTGACAGAGCTTGTCGTGTTGGCATGCCCGCAACTGTGCCCGGGAGACGAGCAAGACGAGCATTGGCACGGAGTAGTTGCTTGGCGCATAAACGGGGGCACCAGAGCATCTTCAAGACAAGATCTCTCGAGTGGATATGAAGACTTTTTGGCGGGGTGGCAGGTCAGGGTGTCCATTATTCGTCACCTCCGCCAGAACGCCCAGGACCCGTCGCCTCCTCATCACATCCGCCCAGGCACGTAAATAACCCCTGCAGGATCCCATGAAGACTGCCTGCCAGGGGGTGGTTACTCAGAATGTTCAAGTGCATGGCCTCGTGTACGCTAAACTAAGCCGACCCGAGGGCTCCAGTTATTCAGGGATCAAGCCCACCACCTGCAGACAGGTCGATCCAGACAATGTTCCCGTCCTTGGTCACCAAAGTCTATGTACTAGCCCGTATCGCCAATTCGACTGGCTACTCCGTACTTCGAGCACCGCTGTAAGCCCCCGGCTGCGACGCCCAGTGAGAGAGTGAGAGAGAGAACGAGAGAGGGAAAAAAAGAGTCCAGGCTGGTCGACCAGGGGGGAGGCAACGGGGAACAAGGGACCGGGATATTTGCAAGTGCCCGCTCACACACACAACACCAGTTGATTCTTGACACCTCGAAAGACTCACGCCCACGGCCACCCACTTTGATGTCGAGCAGCCAGAACTTGTGGGAGCCTGTCTCCCGCGGACGGAGTAAACGTCCGAGTACTTTATGGTCCTCCTTCGCCCTCCACCCATCACACCTGTTGCTTACTTCAGGCCCAAATTGCTTTACGTTGACCTATTTCCATACTATTCCTACACTCCTTTTACAACGAATACTTGCCCTTCGAAGCCGAAGCCCGTCTCACCTTGGCTCAGTGTCGTCGACATAACTGTATATCAAAGGAGCCATGTCTGTGACTATAGGGTTGTAAACAACCTCCTCGTGGTTTATTCGGCGTTTATATTCGTGCTACTCTCAGCACATTCTTACTATACTTCTTACTTCTGTTTTCTCTTTACATATTAAGGGCTGTCTGATAATTGTACCCGAATACTTGCACCTAAATTCGTCGAAATTTCGCCGCCGGATACTGAACAGGGTGTGGGCACACGCATAATACATCATCGCTTGTGCTATAATACTTCACGTCTGGGACCGCGAGCAACATCTACTAGTGTGGGGAAACGACTACAATTACCATCGTACTCCACTGACTATAAGTAACCAACATTGCATCGGCCAATTCACTTATAACAAGAGTTCAAAGGTCTTGGGGGAGGGAATCGAGACCTGTTAAGATGGTCAATCTAACTGGGGTGAACCTGTGTCCCCCGCCATTTGTCGATTCGAATCTCTATTTACACAGCAAAGGATGTATGCTACTCTGACCACTTGCTATCAGCCTGGCCTTCTCTGGTATACTCGCTAACATGGAATAGACCTAGAAGGCCGGCTATGTCAGAAGGTTGCAGATGACCTGAAATGCTGCCTTCCTTGTCCGATGACGGACTGGATTTACCCAGACAGCTTCAACTCTATGACTGTGGCGGCTAACTGGATAGCGGCCGTGAGCGCCATATGTTGCGTGTATCTGCTTGCTTCTTGGGCAGCTCTTCCCGTGGACAAGACCAATAGACATTATCTGAGCGTCTGTTTAACTATTGGAGTCCTCCTGATGAATGTGAGTTCGAGCATCGTCCGCATGCCTGGAATATGATATCGCGTCAGATACTGACGAGACTTTCTCAGCTCGGATTCGTGATCCCTCTGGCTGCTCGTCCTGATCAGTGTTATGACAAAATTACTCCCCATAGCATGTCCACCAGTAAGGTGTGCGGTGCTTCTGGTAGTTTCCTCCTCTTGGGGGGCTGGTGTGGTGTTATGTGGGCTTTCTTGCGATCGCTCTCCCTCCATCTTCAGATTTGTTGGCAGGTTCTTGTGGGAAGAAGCTTCATGATATTTGCTCAGGCTGCCGGCTGGGGCATTCCCTTACTCGGCATCACCTTGGCTCTCGTCTTCAGCGGTGTTTCTTTTCGGTTCGGTTCAACGTGCCACCTCAATCACAAGAACAGTCTCGCCGATGTGTGGATCCCGCTCCTCATTTTTGCTGGCGCAACTGTGATTATTACGTTTGCGACATTTGGCTACTGCGTCAAAGTTTACCTGGCCTCCTTATACGACAACTCTGCCTCAACGGAAGGGTCGAGCCTCCCGGCATACACTAGCAGCGTCAGAACGGTGTCCCCTCGCCAAGCCTATCGTCGTGTGAAACGGGTTATTGCCTTACAATGGCGCGGCATTGCCATCGTCCTGATCATCATTGCTGATGTTATCTTCTTCTCGGTCATCTTCGTGTTCCAAGACAACGTTGTGCAATCGGTAACAAACGACCCCAGCATGGCAAAAGATTGGGTAACTTGCCTCATTGGTGCAGGGGGTGACAAGAATCAATGTCTCAAATATGCGGGCTCCATTGTCGTTAACGAAGCCACGGTCACGGCTGTGTTACTCTTATTGGGGGTTCGTTGGTTCCCTTTTCTATCCCCGTACCAATTTGTTCTTCCCCCTTGAGGCGAATTTGGCGTATAAGCCCTACTCAGAATCTTGCATATTTGACTAACATGATGGGATAGTTGAACGGCATTTGGCTGATGTTCCTATTGGGCCGTATTTCCATGTTTACCGGCTGGTACGAATTGTTCACGTCGTTCCTACCGAGTAGCCGCAGACAGAAAGAGTTTGTGTCTGTGGACGCTCGCCATGATACTAAGAAAGAATTACGCAATTCACGTTCGTACGAAATGCTCTCCAGGGACTCTAGCGTTGTGGTAACACCACTCTCTCCAGTAAAATCGCCATCGCCTGGACGGCGAACCCCTGACTATTTCGGCCAGGCGGCACGGTATAACGTTCCTGTGAGATCATTCTCAAGTCCTCGAGGGCCGCAGACAGCCTCGTGGGATCATCAGGAAACATTTGCGCGACCCGAGCGACCCGAAAGAACCGATCGTCAAGACATGAACCCGCTCGGCATGAACAGAATTTAAAGTCACACAATCTAGTTCTCTTTGTTGCATCTTTTATGCCTTGGAAAGAGAGCTTTTAATGAATCAACAAACTGTTACGAAAGAGACTATGCGAGCGACACCCGTCACCCAGAGACACCTGCGGACGCATTGTCTATCCACTCGAACAAACACTACCCCGGAATTATACCCGGAGAGCACCGGAATTGGTGCCTAAAAATCAAGACTTGGCCGGGCCAAGTCCTAGGACGTAAGGTCTTGATGCTCCCTTTGCAGTAGATCGAGGGGGAGACATGACTTGGTCCAGTCAAGATAAAATTCTCCCCACTAAAGAAGCTATCCCAATGAAAATCGTCATGGTCGTGACACTTCCTTTTTACGCATAATTAGAGGATTATGGGACTTGCACTGTAGTGGTCTTTAGTTACATGGCTGCCTTGGGAGGTGGTGCTGGATAAATCGGCGTCATAGGAAGTACACGGCCCGAGAATAATGAGAGAGCCAAGAACCATCTTGTCTAATATCGCTTAATGACCACGGGGTTGGAGTGGCTCTACCGGGGATCTGGGTGTATAGTAGACCAGAGAGGTGCTGTGGGCAAAGAAGCTGGCGATTCAAGGGCGGGCACACATCTCTGCCGTGTAAATAAAGGCACAGCGGTTCCAATTGGTAACCAGCACCTCGTCCGCTTTGTACATAGAATTGATCAAAAAGTCAAATATACAAGTTAATTGGATGACCTGTTGGCATTTCGCCCAATCTTGGATCGGCTTGCCGATGGGGGCAAACGCCGCCCTAGCCATGACTGAATTGTGCGCTAATACGGCAGCTTCCCGCACTTTGCAACATGAATCTAATGCCAGATGTAGCAAGAGCGTACAAGGACGATGGCATATCTGCCTGCTAGCATTTGGCATACATGAGCAAAAAGACACGTCGTGCTAAATGCTGGGCTGATGCCCGTATGACTGGAGCCCGGCCATGCGAGGAATCAGAAGAGCCCACCAGACGCAAGTAGGCAGTAGTGCCAGGCTTGAACCAACATTGAACATTTCAAGAATGTAGGCCAAGCTGACGCGCAACCATTCGCAAGTCTTGCATCAGATTCGCCAACTCACGAGTCAGCCACACAAGTGACACAACCATAGGCATAGGCAAGCAGCAAAACGGAATGTCGCAGCCTGCATCTTTCAGTGACGGGAGACCAGGGTGGCATAATGGCTGCGTCCCAGGCCGCCACCTTTTTGGAGCCTCGGACGCACATTCATTTGGCATTGACTTTGAGTATATATAAATCCTGCCTTGTCTATTCTTTCACGGGACAAAGATTGCGAGCTGATATACTCGTACGAATATACATGCATACATTCTTTCATTTTCGTCAGCAAGAAAGACGGCGAGGTTCGTGCCGTGGCAGCAGTTGATTGATCGACGGCGGCGGCACGGGAGCGCCGGATCTGGATGGGCCTGGGGGGACGCGACTCGCAACGTTTGAGACTCGATTCCCAGACGCAAAGGAAATGTTTTTTGAATTGGTCAACTTGAATTTTTAGAATCATCCCTCTTTGATTCCGTTATTAAGAATCCGGCGTTGTATTCGGCAGCAACTGTCCTTTGTCCTACCCTATTTGAGGGTCGCGTGCCCAACTGCCGTGTTTGAGATTGATACAATACACAGTCTCTCGCCGGGATGAGAGGAGGTTTAAGGCTATCCGGGCCGTATTCTGGCGATGCGGCGTGGGCGGCAAACCGATTTCCCCGAGATGGCCATGGCGACAGATGGAACGAGCCGGAGCCGGAGCGACCATTCTTCTCGTTGCCTGCAACCAGAGCCGCGGCGAGGATTGAAGCGCCAGGTATTGGCCAAGGTGGTGACGGCGGCATTGTGTGGATGAAACAGAAGCAGAGGGCGTGGCCACTATGGCGATTTGTGTCACGGAGACCACGAAGATGGATATTCTTGGGTGTAGTCCTCCTCCTGGGCTGCTTTGTTGGGTACTTTTACAGGTCAGAGGTGGCTATAAGTGCGGTTTGGATCCCGGACATGGAGTCAGTATCGTTTGGCAAGAAACCGTTACCGCCACCCCTGGAACGCACCCAGATTACAAACTACACGTTGCCTCTTGTCACCAAGGGTCGGCATATCGTTGACGCAGAGGGGAGGAGGTTCAAGCTGGCGTCGATAAATTGGTACGGCGCAAGCGATGAGCTGTTCGTCCCGGGAGGGCTGGACGTGCAGCACCGCAAAGTGATTGCCCAAACAATCAAGAAACTGGGCTTTAACAGCGTCCGACTTCCCTACGCAGATGAGCTGGTTTCCAAAAACCCAGTCATCGACGCCAGGTTGGTCAGGGCGAACGCGGACCTCGTGGGACTCAGGGCGCTGGATATCCTCGAGGCCGTCGCGACAACGCTAACGGAGCAAGGTATCGCCGTGATTGTCAATAATCACATTACGAGGGCGACGTGGTGCTGCGGTGCGAACCCATGCGACGCGGCGTGGGCGAATGACCATCTCCTGGGCATTTGCAAGGTGACACAATCTGAGGATGAGTGGATACGGAACTGGGAGACGGTCATGACGAGATTCACCAACGATCCGCTCGTCATTGGCGTTGATCTACGCAACGAGGTGCGAGGCCTCTGGGGCACGATGCCGTGGCACAAGTGGGCAGAGGCGGCAGAGCGCTGTGGGAATCGCTTGCTGGCCATGAATCCGGACTGGCTCGTGGTGGTGGAAGGGACCGAGTCTGCAAACGACTTGCGCGGGGCGCGGAAGCGGCCAGTGAGTCTGGACATTGCGAACAAGCTCGTGTACTCGGCGCATGTGTACGCCTGGTCGGGATGGGGGAGTCTGGGAGGTCGCTTCTCCAAGAGGACATATGAGTCGTTTCGTGAGAGCATGCGCGGGCACTGGGGGTATCTGCTCGAGGAGGGCGTGGCGCCCGTCTGGGTGGGCGAGATTGGCGCGCCGAGGCTGCCGGCGAGTGTGGGCGACGTGCGATATTGGAAGAACTTGTGGAGGTACTTGGGCGAGGTGGACGCGGATTTTGGCTATTGGGCGTTGAATCCGAGGAAGCCCAAGGGGAACGAGAGCGAGGGCTATTCGTTGGTGGAGGACGACTGGGTTGGTGTCGTGCTTGATTATCGGATGATGAGCATGGTGGAGGCTATGAGGAGGGAGTGAGGAGATGGGGTTATTTGATTTGAAGGAACGAACTAGCGCTTGATGTTCCGTGGCTATGTGAACCTGTGGCAGCGTTTTGCGAGTCTGTTGGGTTCATGGTTTCGCGGCGTCACGTACTTATGTACAATGTATCTCCAGCCCTCGTGGACCGTATCGGTGCTTTCAATGTCCAATGCTCCTTCTTCATAGCCCCTCCTCGGGCAGTGACAGCTCGGATCCACCCCGCCGCCTGCCACCCGCAATGGCCGCCATGTCCCACATGGCCATGTGACGACAACCCTCCAACCGTGAACCTCGAACCACGTTTCCAACCGAACATCATCATCCAAAGATATAGACAACATTTCAGCCCCGTGTCTTGCCGAAAACAAAAAAAAACTCGAGCTGCATCTCCCAAACCGATATTTGGCCGAGCCCGACACTGCATCCCGGACGGACGGACTCCCTATTTCGCTTTCGCCGCCTGTTCCTTGGTGATATCGGCAATCAAGACACAAAGACGTCCCGCTTTGGGCCATCATCCCCGGCGACGGCCGTCCGCCTCCCCACGCATACATGTGCGATTTCTTCCACGGCCTAGCAGCGGCCACTGCTAGCCCTCCTCCATGGAAAGCCCAGAGGCAAAGCATCGCCTGTTTCGGCCTGCCACGGTAGGGACATGCCATGCGCAGACGGCGACGGATCGGGTATGTAGTTCAATAAGGCAGATAATCAATCTGACACCTGACACCTGGTCCCCCCACAGTCTTGACCATGACGCTGACTGATCGACATAGTTTGGCGACGAGGCCAAGCGAGCCATTCTCGACCGCGAGCGCACTTTGTTGGGTCTACATCCTGCAGGGATGGAATGGCCAACCAACTGGCCTGGTTCCGAAGGCGACCAACATGAAGACCATCCTGTACCTGCAAACTCGATTTATAAATTGGTGCCTACTATGCAGGCCTACAGAAATAATCTGACTGCCTTGTCGCAGAAATATAATGTTGGCTGACACCCCTGACTTACAAACTGGTACCCAAGCCCTCAGAAGAAGGAAGCTGACCCAGCGTCGTTTAGTTGTACTTTTCTGCATACCGCGGCAGAGTCTTTGTCTATGTGCCACGAAGCGTCCCGAAACAAACGATACCCCGACATCCCGATGTCCAACTTGTCACGTCTCCGAGTCGGGCTGCGCTGAAGATCAGAGGCTATCTCGATCCCACGTCTCCCCACTCCATCAATCATATCATTGTTGGGTCGCTGGGACAGGAGGAAGTCGTCCTCACATGCCACGACGATGGCGATGTTATTGCATTTTATACCAAGGATGTTGCCGAGTACATTCTCGCCAAGTCCGAGATACCCAGCTCTGCAACGCCAAAACAACGCCGAGCTTCAGTGTCATCTCTGAACGCAGGGAATGCACCAAAGCCCTTCTTTCACGAAAACGTTGGCATCTCAGCCTGGGGATTGGCGCTGCATCAAAAGTCTCGCCTTATAGCGGTGAGCTCGAACCGGTACGAAGTAACCGTGTTTGCACCGGCCCTGGCCACCAACGGATCGAGGTCGAGTCGGAATTGCGACTGTGAGGCGTGCTGCGATGGCATGGAATCACATGTGCGTCGTCGTGCTCGTAATTGGCGGATAGTCGTGTCATTGGGACCCTTGGCGGACAATATCCCAAATATCAGCTTCGTTGATGACAAGTACGGCTATGCGGAGAAGATCAGTGCTATTGATATCAAGGGTGCCATGTGGCTAGCCGATATTTGGAAAGCATTCCAAGCCGCCATCAGGGTCATGCCATCGACCAGCCCGCTTTTAAAGAGTGAGGAATTCTGGCCCGCAACATCCCGGTACGTTGGCCGTTTTTCATACCTTGATCTTCACAGTTTTGTCTAACACGCATGGTGCATATAGAGGCTGGGGGATTCTCGCGCTTCCAAACACTAGCTTTTTAGCAGTCCGTTCTGAGGAGGAGCTTCTAGGTGCCGAGCTCAAGGACCTGGAAATGGTGCCCAAACTCCAAGCTGGTCCTCATCCAATGGTCAACTTGGCCAAAACTATTCGGGACCTCCCGGACAACCCGTGCACGCAACCCACGTTGCGAAATGCCATCATTCGTGCGGACGATCCCCCCGAAGATGTGCAGTTGGCCGCAGACATGGGCGACGATGAGTTTGCCTTTGACGATGTGAGTGATGATGAGGCCTTTGAGCTTGGCGAATCGGAACCTGGTGAAGGCGCCGAGGCAGAGGACGACCAAAACGCAGAAACCAACTCTGACGACGAGCTTGAGCCTGGTGAAGATTTGGAAATTGGGGAAGTCGATGACGAAAATGATGATGAAACGTTTTACGATATCGTTTATGCCACAGATCACGCAGCACAGAGCGACATCCCATCGACATTGGCAAACCAGGCTGAGGAAATACAAGCTCCGCATACATCAAATGTTGCTCTACCGGTTGGCCACCCCATGTTAACCGCGCCCCCAAACCCTACAGAGAGTTCTCTACCTGTGCAGCATATTTTTACAGATCCATTTGCTTCCTTGATTCCGTCAGAGTCTGAAAGTGAAGGCTTGTTACACGACGACGCTCGTTTCCCGCCGCCGTCTTCACAGTGCATGAAATTACGGCCGAGAAGAAATCCTCCTGTGCGACTCGACATGATTTACATGCCACATAGTGGGAAAGCTCTCAAGGCACCTCGACGCATAGGTAAACTTACAGACTTCCTCCGGAGAGGCACCGAGTATAATGAAAACACGGCCGGCTATGTAACCGGATTAGGGAAATTCGCAGAACGATATCACATGCTGCGATTGTATGAAAAGGATGTCGAAATGCGTACCCTTGATAAGCCTCGCCAGAGAGGGCTGCCAGAACTAGGAATCCTCTGTCCATACGCCCTGACCATGGGCTTGACGCCCGGCCGAGCCATGAGGCCGCATTTCCGCGCAACAAGCCGACTCAACATGGTGGCCCACATCCCCGAACTATTCCTAGTGGTCATCGGCTCCCCAATTGGCAGAGTGCTACTCGTTACTCCCACGCGTCTCATAAACCCGATTGAGAAACTAGCAGGTGTACTTCACTACGGTCTGCGAATCGACTGGGTCCTGCCCAGGCAATCGGACGAGGCGGCGTTCAGGGTCAGCAAACGTCCGCTCCATGGCATGGCCATAGGGCCGGTCCAAGAAGACGGTGTGCTGGGAGATGTGGATGAGACGCGACGAGTGGCAGTTCCGCGCCGGTACAGGCTGATGCTGCATTACAGAAATCATGACATCTTGACGTATGAGATTAGTAGGGAGGAACAGACGGGGAAGCTGTGTATCTTCTGAGGCGCTGGGGCAAAACGGAATCTTTACCTGCGTAGGGGCGGGGGAAGGGGGGCCGGGTGGTGGGCATGATTGCTCCCATGGGCGTTTCCAGGATGCTTTATTCGCAGTATGACGCATATCGGAGGTTTGGCTGGATATCAATACCTCTGCTACTAGGACGTCGAAGGGTCTGGTGACAGTTTGAGCTGCTAGGAAGGGCTGTGAAATGGTCCATGCAGCAGTTCGCTTTGGGTGTCGTCGAGTGGAGAGTTTTGACACTCTAGGTAAAATACTTTCAAAGCTTACTACTAGTCTCTCGACCCTGATGCGCCCTCTTCTTGTGTTTACGTACCAATGAAACTTGGGCTTTCCCCAGATCTCTCCCGTTTGACTAGGAGATAAGCGCACATGGGCACCTGCCAGACTCGGTCGTTCCCCAGACCTTGCGACCTGTCAAAGTTGCTGTCTCTGTACATAGGGCTCCCGTGATAATTAAGGTTGTCGGGGAGCTTGTATGTATGTACGTACATACTGCACGGTGTAGAGGAGATAAGAAGTCCGTGAAGGACGCATGGACGCTTGGGTGGTCGTGGGGCCTTGCCACTCATGACAGATCCGGTTTGGGGGGCCCGACATGTTTAGTCTTTTGACGGGGGACGACGGTCCAAGATATCATTGGGCGATAAGGATGGTAATGCTATTGCTGGGCCCCCCCTTCGGACGGAGTACAGTAATAAGGGGGGTTTGCGAGCTGGGAATGGCGATTGGGAAGGAGGTGAGAAGCTACGAGGGGGGGCTAGTCGAGGCCGGACGACATTTTCTCGGGTTCAATGGGAGGTCGTGTTTTACGGGGTGAGAAGCAGCGTTTTTTTTTGGGTGGTAGTAATAAGGGTTGGTAAAGTCGTCGGCGTTGTTTCTTTCAGGCGGACAATCTGGTCTGTCTGCGGGACGGTGAGTTCTTTAACGCGGCTCTTTTCTGGAACGGTGCAGGGCAGGTTCTGCAGCACCAGACGGCGCCTTGCTAGAGGAATAGAGATTAGGCGAGGACCATTGGGACGCATGGCGGCAAAGTACAGAGTTTTGTTGCCGAAACGCTACGCCGTGCTTTCTTGGTGGTGCGCGTGGCTTGCTGGCGGGAGTTGGAGTTGCGACCCTAAAGGTTTTTTTTGTACGTGTCTTGCACGGGTTTATGTCTGACGAGGAGGAAATGCCATGTGACATTGACTGGATGGGTGTGCCAGCGGTTGTATTGCAGGAACGTTAAAGGCGGTTGTGGTTGTGGTGGACGGCTGTTGTTCGTCATCGCGCATGACTGGCGGGAATTAGCCAGACAAGACGGCAAATAGCTGGGGCTGCGAGGATCGGAGTGTGCGCCAGTGTGAAGGAAACCTGAAAGAGGTCAACGGTACTCCGTACTCCGTAGATCGTCGTCATCGGGGATATCTCGATAGCTACCCAGCGTCCAAGATTGGACTTGGGACAGGGGGGTGCGGTTATGAGAATGGCCGATTAATAAACCCCAGGACGCATTCTGACCCCGTCGAGTTCATTATTGAAATGGGCGTTGGTTCTTCATCGATGGACTTGGCATGCTCAGCTGAAGCTCAGAATGGGCTGGTGAAAAGGCTCCCTGTGACAAATAGTAGATAGCCTGGTGTACGGAGTTATTAGTATCCAGGGAAGTCAAACGTCCATGTCGGCGCTGCGTCAGGCGATTGATTGGCCAGAGCGCGGCTGCAGATAGCGATAAAGGACATGGACGGCCTTGACACGTTACTTATGTAAAAACCTGGGGCACATGAGATGGGCCATGGGCCAAGGCGGCCCAGGGCTGGAAGCCAAGCTTTGGCGCAGCGGGAGGGCAGAAGGAGCGATGACCAAGGAGGGCCAGTAATAGATTCTGATGCCCGTTGTCAGAGATTTGTTGGCAGTGGGCGTGTGTGATTGGCTGGGCGTACTGAGTCAGCACCAAGTACGGAGTACCGAGGGAGTGAACCAATCATGGTTCGCGGGGCGATGCTTATCAGCAGCCTTGGGGCACTGGCTGCTGACGGCAGGTGTGGGGCCGGTCGCCACGCTGCCTGGTTCTCACATGTGAGTTAAGGCTTGTGAGAAGGAAAAAAAAAAAAGGAATGTAAAATCAGCCCGTTGCCGTCTCCCGAGACATGGACGCGAAGAATGGGACTGTGCGGAAAGACATTGTCGCATTGCGAGAGCTGGACGTCGTTTTATTGGTAAAGGGCTTTTATTGCTTTATTCTTGGTTAATTTTTTTGGTGCCTGGTTGGGCTCATCACCTGGTTGTCTCCGTGGTGCCGGGACGGAGGGACGGAGTGCATACGGACGGCGTCTTTGGATGCAAGGTTCACGCCCCCAAATAGATAAGACCCTAGAGACCCTTTGGCTTCTGGCTGTGTTCTTGATATTTGGACTTGGCTTTGCCGCGGACGTTTCCGGGATCGCAAGGCACCGTCCAGGGGTGCGAGACAGGCGTCGAGATAGCATGTCCCATGTCTCGATGCTCGACTGGCGGCCAACACTTATTGTTCGATGATTGCTCTGGACTGAGGCAAAGCAAATCCATTAGTATCCGAGTCATCAATGGGCCCGGAGACATTGAAATAGAGGGGAAATTAAGCATAAGCTTTCAAACACTGAACGCGCCGATGCAGTGCAATGTGCAAGCTGGCATGGCAACGACAAAACCCGGAGACTGTCATGTCACCCAAAGCATTGTCATAAATCACATGTCCCTTGACGCTTGTTCCCAATCACGTCCAAAGCCGTTGACAATTTGCCAAAGCTCACTCGTAACAGATGCGTTCCCCGGGATCTCGCGCGTGAAGCAACGAGGCAGCACCATTCACTGCGCACACCCCCCCTCCGCTTTCGGCACCCCACGATAAGCCCGTGTCCAGTAATGTGCACGAATAGCCAAAAATACCCAATGCACCATCCGCAGTCGACAAGAAATTAGAAAATGCTCGCGCCGATAGCCCGAGGCTAATTGGCCCTGCCGAGGAAGCGGGTCTTTGGGAACGCCCTTTCAGTTGCATTCTTGGCTCCCCATTCATCGGATATGTCCCTGGGCAGGGATCTGCGCCGCCAGCTTGGGTAACTTAAGAGTCCTTATCTATACCTCGCCGTCTATGGCCAACTTGCCTATGCCGCCATGTACTTGCTTGTCCCCAGAACCCGGTATCGACCAAGCTAGGTTATTTTGTCAGACAGCACAAGAGGGCATTTGGAAGTAGTTGAGCCGTCGCTACTTGACTCTCCCGCAACAGAGATAAAAAAAAAAAGGGTTGGCCTAGGCCCTTTACTTGTACCGAGTAGTCCGTAGTCATCTTATATAGATGGGAGTATCCCTCCCTCCCCCCCAGCAGCTGCGGTGTGTTTATGTTCCTGATTTTTGGTAGTATTTGCCTCGCATTTACAAAACCCTCTTGTCCCCTTTGACAACCCTAACAAACTTGGATATACGTCATTCGTTGTTGGAGGGCATTGGGTGTACTCAGGATCACCAGGAAAGCGAAAAACCGGACATCGCGATTCTCACTCAGCGTCTTGGGACTTTGGTGCCTTGGGGAAAGGGGAAACTCGGGGCCGGGCCAGAAAGAAATCTGATTTTGGGACGGGATAACAAGCATAAGGCATAGAATTCTTCTGCTGGTTGCAAGTTTCGAATCTCTCTCGACATCTTTTCCCCATCTTTCTCCTTTCATTCCAATATGTCGTACGCCCATCTCGGGGCGCCAGCCGTGTTCAATGGCACAAACGATGATATTGGCGGCGATTCAAGTATGTACCAACTTAACGTTTCGCAGCATCCTTTTTGAAGCCGCTTCTTGTAATAGAGGGAGATGGCCGGGGGGGATGGATAAAAACAATTCCTAACCATGGTTTATGAATAAATAGGGACCGAAAACCTTAACCAGTGGTATCAGGCGGGCGACCAGGCCTTCATCATCATCTCATCATGTCTCGTGCTCCTCATGGTCCCCGGCATCGCGTTCCTCTACTCTGGTCTCGCGCGGAGAAAATCAGCCCTCTCCATGCTCTGGGTCGTCATGATGTCCTTTAGCGTCATCGTATTCCAGTGGTACTTCTGGGGATACTCTCTTGCCTTTGGTCAGACGTCCAATAACGGCTTCATCGGCGACCTCAAGCACTTTGGCCTCATCAACGTCTGGGCCACGCCGTCGGTCGGATCGCCGCTCATCCCCGCGCTGCTGTTCTCCTTTTACGAGATGATGTTTTGCGCCGTCACCGCCGCACTGACCGTCGGCGCCGTCGCCGAGAGGGGGCGCGTCATCCCCGGCATGGTCTTCACCTTCTTCTGGGCCACGCTGGTCTACTGCCCTCTTGCCTACTGGGTGTGGAACGCCAACGGCTGGGGTTACAAGAACGGCGTGCTCGACTACGCCGGCGGCGTCCCCGTCGAGATTGGGTCCGGTGTGTCGGCCCTCGCCTACTCGTGGGTGCTGGGCCGCCGCAACGAGAGGATGATGATGAACTTCCGCCCGCACAACATCTCGCTCATCACCCTCGGCACCATGTTTCTGTGGTTCGGCTGGCTGGGCTTCAACGGCGGCTCGGCCTTTGGCGCCAACCTGCGTGCTGTCATGGCCTGCTGGAACTCGTGTCTGACCGCCATGTTTGCCGCCATGACTTGGTGCCTGCTTGATTTTAGGCTGGCCAAGAAGTGGTCCATGGTTGGCTGGTGCTCGGGCACGATTTCTGGCCTTGTTGCTGCTACGCCTGCCTCCGGATTCATTGACCCCTGGGCGAGCATTGCCCTGGGTGTTGTTGCTGGCGTTTGCTGCAACTTTGGCACAAAGAGTATGTTGGGGACAAATTTCTTGCATATTTACCTTTTAAAAAAAATGATTCTGGGCCACGGCTAACATGTCTCCTTCTTTTTCCCGAATAGTCAAGTTCCTTGTTCGTATCGACGACTCTCTTGATGTCTTTGCCGAGCACGGCATTGGCGGCATGGTTGGCCTCATTTTTAACGCCTTCTTCGCCACTGGCAAGGTCATCGGCCTCGATGGCGTCAACACTGGAGCCAGCGGCGGCTTCATCGACGGCAACTACAAGCTTCTCGGGTGGCAGATTGCCGCCATCGTCGCTGCCTCTGCTTACGCCTTTGTCATGTCCGCCATTATTGCCAAGATTATCGATGTCGTCCCTGGTTTGAAGCTTCGGGCATCTGAGGAAGCTGAGCTTCTCGGTATGGATGATGACCAGCATGGCGAATTTTCATACGACTATGTTGAGGTTCGTCGGGACTTCTTGGCTTGGAGTCCCCCCAGTGGGGAGCCTGCTCATGATGGCGAAATGATTGAGCCTCAACACGGCATTCAGGAACATGCCAGCATGGTGCGTCCCATGAGTGTTTCTGACGGTCCTGTTGAGAAGAAGTCGTCTGCTTCATCTGTGCAGTTTGATAGAGACCGCGCGGTATTGGACAATGAGAAGAGAGAGTAGATTGTGTCCGGTCTGGAGTTTGCATGCGGGAAGGCGTTTTTTTCTTCTCTTTTTTTTCCTTTTGGCTTCTGGGTTTTGTCAACATGTGGTTTTGGTAGCAGGCATCGGAGTACGGCTTGATTTTTATTCTTAGCTGTAGGATATCAGCATTGTAGATGAGCACAGGCAAAAGCGGTCTGCATATTAGTATGTACATGAACAGCGCATACCATTGATCTATTAAGTTTGCCCACGGGTTGATTAAGTTGAAAAGTGAAGACTCCATATAGTGATAAGCAACAACCAGTTCCGGCCATTGGCCGTGTCCTGCGTATATTAAAAGGAGAAAACGTTTGAAATTAATGGAGACATTAGAGGAAAGTAGTATGCATATACTGACTCGGCCACTTATTCAGCCGGAAAAGTTTAAGCCATATGGAACATTACGGCGGAACACCGTCAGTCGCCTCTCCATATTTTACAGCAGGGTAATCTCCGAAGCAAGCGTGATCAAAGTTGGCCCTGGCTGCCATGCCGTCTTGAACTTTAATGAATGCGTCTAACTCGCACCACCCGTCCCTCCTGCTGGCATCACATTCTGGGAAGCTCTTGCCCAAGGGTAGCGTCCGCTGATTCAGGATAAAGTGGATATACTTTGTCTTCCCGCCACGGAGATAGCCATCTCGATTCGGAGACAGCGGCTTGGGAGTTTGAATGATTTCCATGTCGAGTCGTGCCCCAAAGGGCGTCACATGTGAGACGGTGAAGTTGTGGTCTCCGGGATAGTCCTTGGCAGGCAGCTCCTCGGCAAATTGCCTGAGTCCAAAGGCTGTCAAAATTGACACTATATTAGTATCATGTGAAAAGTCGAAGTAGAGGCTCTGGTTCAAGGGAAATGTTTCCGTATTATTGTCGAGTGTGACGTTGATCTGTGAGCCAGAGTATCCCAGAGTATGATTTTTAAGTCGGGCCATGGTTTCTTGCTGATAGCCGAGGCCAACAGCTCTCTACGCCTCCGTCAGCAAAAGCTCAAATATTGACAATGTTGATGGATCGAGGCAGTACATACCCCCGTTGGGCTGTGGAATCCGCTTATAGCAGAAAAAAATAGATCAGTAGAATATCCAAAGTCTCGCCACTCCTTATACGTAAAGAGGTCGCAAAATTTGCTGAAGCCATAGGCAACAGTTTCATATGGGCACATGGTCTGAGCAGCATAAACATCTTCAATAGTCCATGTAAACCCTTCTGTCATTGACTGGAATCGTGTCTGGGCTACATCGTGCATCAGGCCGGCGTGTTTGCGAATAGATGGTCAATGAGAGAGCCTTACCTTCTTTGAGGTACTCGTGTATCCATGTATGGACAGCTTCGTTTCCTGAAGATTTGGCGTTGGCGTTCGGGCAGTTTAAAGACCCGGCCAACGAATTGTTGAATCCCTTCTGTTCTATGATGACTTCAATGGTAGCATTTCTGGGCCTGTGCGAGATTAGCATAAGAACTTGAGAATTAGATCGATCCAAATCGCACCACTCCAGTCCGAAAAACCCAGCCATCCAATTCTCGGCAGACTTGAGCATTCTGTCTTGCGTCTACAAACATCAGCCCAAGGCACTATGAATACTATGACACAGTCAAGCACCTACAGTTGTGCGAACGATAATCTTGCTGTTCGGGTTATACAGACTTCCGTACATGTAGCTGTGTAAAACACCTGCAGAGTGAGAGCAAGTCAGCCCAACGAACGACAGGGCTCCTGGCACCAGTATCAACTACTTACCTGATTGGAAGAGCTCCTCGCGACCCTTGGGCACAAGGATTTCGGCACCGAGTTGGTATTTCCAGTCCCTGAGAAACGAGAGTTGGCCTCTTGGACTGAATATCTCTGAGGCATTGGCAATCTTCTGCCCAAGCTGGGCAACCGAGGATCCTGTCGTAGGATATCGCGATCCATGACGAGAGAGCATCTGAAGTTGAAGAATCTCTGCGCCAGCAGGAAGTGGAAACTCGTCCACGCCAAATCCTGGAGAAGGTGTGTAGGGGGATAAGTAGCCCATAAGCTTGAAGATACTCTCATTCCCCGAGCCCATTCCCTCGATAGGAATGGAGGTCTGTAATGGCTCATTTGGCACATAGGTAGCGGTTGGGTCGAAAGTTCGTGTCTGTGCCATGAAAGCAGGTTTTCCTGTTGGCGTAGGACCGGCCCATAATTCAGGTGAAGTCTGAAAGTACTGAGGTACATCTTTGGGACGGCAGGGACAAGAGTCGTTCCTTCCCTTGAAGGCGAAGGGCAGCGCCATGAAGGCGTTGACCCCAACTAAAATAACCAGCAGCGCGGCAAGAACGAACGTTGCAACCCGGAAGCGATTCTCAGATCGCGAAGGCCGCGAGAGGAAACCCCCTTCCCGAAATGTCCCTCGAGCATCCCGACCTTGTCCAATATGGCCGCCGTCACTGGGGGAAGCATCACCATCACCGACACCACCCTCCGATCCGTCACGGTCGTCGTCTTGATATACTGGCCGGTACCCCCCTGATTCATTCCCTGGCTGTTTGGGCCGCGTTACAGGCGCCATTTCGACACTCCCACCGTTGTTTGTGCCGCCGGGTGCTGCACGATGTTGCTAGAGAAGGTCGGCCCCCCAGCTCGAACGTATGCGCCTGTCTGAGAGATTAGGGGCAAGATACACAATCTAGACCTGTGAAGTATATGCCCACGTCCTCAAGGCTGAAAACAAGCCACCGTTGGATCGATTGAGCTGACTTGGCATGCTACAATGCGAGGCGCGAGACGGAGGCTTCTCCGTGGTAAGGAGTCCGATACAGTGTTCTGTACGAAGCTCGCTCCCTAAGCGGACCAAGTTCTACGTGAATGGTCTCTGGTGGAGTTGGATCCTGGCAGACGGTTGGCTGTGCGTCCTAAACCTACAGTAGCTCCGCATGCGTGCATCGATCTCCGCGCCAACGGCACTCTCCATGTTCCAGGCAAAGTCCGGTAACCTGACCCCCTGGCTGCATGGCTCGCCTAGACACATTGAGCTGGCTCGCGCTCGCGCCCAGCATTCCGACCACTTGGTACCAAAGCTACATCTGGAAAAGGACGCCGCAGGCACTGACTATTGATTGCCTTTGGTATCCAAAGGAGTGACCCCAGGATATTTTATGCTTTCAAGTCTCTGGTTAAGGCTTGGGCGCGGTTAAAACATGGTTTTTGTTTCACCGCCATTAATTGACATCTGGTACTAGTGCCTTTTGGCGTCGCTGCCAATGAATGGGTGGTTGCAAGGGATGCACGACAGCCAACAAAAAAAAAAGCAAGTCCTGAGATGGCTGCCCGCGGCAAGACATCCGACTCCAGTTACAGAGGATTGTCCCTGAACCCTAGTATTATATATCTTTTCAGCTAGGAAAACTGGATACTAGAGAGAGTTGGGATGAGGTTCGTCGAAGCTTCGTGACTTTTGAGAGTCGCCGTTTCAAAAGTTCTTACCCGCCATAGGGGGTAACGGGTACGCTGAACTCTTCAGAACGTGGCCTGGCAGCATATGGCGTGAGTCAACATATCGTGGACGCGAAGCATAGTAGCCACAGGCGCATCAAAACAGTCCCGAATGTGTGGTCAAACCTGGTCTTGGTAACACAACGTTTCAGAATTTGGTGAACCATTTTCGGAACCTGCTTGCAACACAGAACCTGGTAGCACCAATTAGTACTCACTATTATGGCCACTAATGCTACGGGCACTCGACTCGATTTGCTACCCTTTCTTGTGTTCCAGGACCTCTGCATACTCTGTCACATGATAGTCTTGGTCTATGCATTTAAGACAAGGATAATGCAACAGCAATGAGCGGGCTGCCATCATTCACACTAACTTTGACGTGATGCAGCCGGCTAATGCCCATCACAGGTAGTATGCATTTGCCATTTAGCTGGTTCTCTCGGTGAAACCTCCTAATACAATACAGAATGCTCAGGTGTCGTCCTGCACGGAACTATCATTTGTTTCCACACCACGTCACAGCTCAAAGACGTGAAGGAGCCACAGTAAGCAGTATATAGGTTGGAGAGCACACGTATTCTATTCATTTTGACATAAACCTTACTGATTCTATTTTAGTCACCTGTTGCCAGGCAGGTCTAATTCTACCACACCATACAATAAGTATGCGTGTGCAAGGTGTCTGATTCCGACCCCCTGGTAGTAATGAAAGACAAAAGAAAATACACACCTTCTTGGGGTACACCAATACGCCTCAGCCTCAGTACAAACACACTCAACAAGACCCTTGTGCAGCTTTTGCTCCAGTTTTATGCCAGTCCCAATCAAACAATTTTGAAACCTTGCTCCAAGGTGGCAGAAACAAATTCTCCTCACATCGGATTGCCATTCTCTTATGTGCAATACATCATGTGACCATTCTTCGCAAACGTCATCATTTCCATTTCAGTTTGCTTGCGATCGCAAAGGGAAGAAGCCGTCTGGCATCGACTCGAGATGCCACACGCGGTTTAGTTTCGGGTCAAAGGTCTCTACCCATTCGTCCTTCAGCTCGTTCGGGATACTCCATCCCATCTCAGAATCACGAAGCCTCATTCGTACTAGATGGCGCTTCTCTATCGTGGAGCTTCCGTTGGTAAAACCTTCGCGCCGGTGAAGGACAGCCAGATTGTTAATAAAGTGAATGTCTCCGGCCTGTGTAGTGATTTCGAGTTGCGTTGCTTGTGCAATTCTCTCAATGGCATCTAGAGCCTCAATCTGGATACTGTTGAGCTTGGGGAGTCGGTCTGGTCGGACGTGGCTTGCGCTGCCTAGCAAGGCGGCTCTACCAAAGTTGGAAATAATCCTACGGTCATGGTAGAATAGGACGGGACGGCATTGAAACCGTGGCCTATTATCACTGAGTGTAAGTTTCCTGCTAATGAGGTTGGTAGCCGCTTCGGGTACTTACAATGCAAATGGCCAGTCAGACCGTGCAAGGACGCGCACCAAGTCAGGGCGCGATGCTGCAAGTGCATTATAAACGGTATATACGGAAGCAAGAATACACTTTCCGCCAGAGACCGCAGTACTCCTGGTAAGCCAGCTTATAATATCTCCAGCTTCTTCGTTGTGAAAGGTCTACAGTCGAGATATGTCAATAAGGCTTTCTGAAGAAGCAACTCAAATCTCATTAAACTTACAATAGGTGCAGTCGAATGGCGATGGTGCAAGGCCTTCATTTTGGTTGAATTGTCCGCTATGATGTGAACTTGTGACAGAGTTTAAGTACAACTGTCGATGAACCTCAATGCAGCAGAATTTACTTACCGAGCATGTTTCCCTTCTTGTCTTGTCTTCCTTGAAGGTTTGCTATGTAGCACTGGATTCCCATATAGATGGTGGTCAAATCTTCAACCGAATATCGCTGAGGATCTAAACCACGGACAAGGCCGAACCCTTTACCACAATATATATCCCGTTGCAAGTCGAGGAGCTTTAGGCCAAGAGTGGGTAGGGCAAAGTTTTGAGTCGAAACCAAGTCTCCGTCCAAGCCAAGCTCTGCCGACTTCCCGTCAGTTATTACGATTCAAGTCAAATGGACGACAGCTTCTCTCGGCTTACTCTTGAACTCCTGGAGTGCCTGATCGATCTCAATCAAGTGTGGCTCTTCAAGGCGGAACACATAGTCTGAATCTCTTTTGAACTGTCTTCCTGACCATGCTAAAGGCGAGTCAAGCATGGCAGGAAATCCATTCGGAAGTCCTGAAACCTCGACCAACGGAGCTGGAAACGCAACATCGTGTGTAGGGGCGATTCGCGATCCGATAACTGGTCCGTTCAATTCAGGCGCCATTGCTGCTTCAGTGACACTAAGGATAATTAGCGGACTGTTCCTAGGTACGTGATGTGACAACTTCATTATACCTGTCCGAAAATATAACCCTTTGATTGAACTTTACAAAGTTTGGTCAATGAATAGAAAAATTGGAAGAAGAGACAGAAGATGCTTCAATGTCAATGAAGATATCGAGTCTCCCAAAAACAAAGGGACGAACAGATATATATATGTGTGTGTGTGTGTGTCGGTGTATGTACGTATATATGTCTATATATTTGTATCTTCACGGGTACTGGGCTAGTCCACGGGCTTGTTTGCACAACACATACACACCCCCTTATCCTTCGCTCAGTCACTTTACTACTCCCAGAAAAAAAAAAGTAGCATTTGCTGGAGCTTACAGACCCTCAACGGGTGCGCGCATATGTATCGCAAGCCGGCATGTACTCATATTGTGGCGGGCGGGTAAGTACCTACGGGCCGCTTCGAGCATCACGATGTCTTCAGCCTTGATTCACCGTCTTAAAATAACACATAACCAATCATATTCGGGACTCAATAGTAGAGAGGGAGTTTATCGAAAAGTGAACCTGACTACGAGGCGACAAACAAAACGGCAAACCGGACGGGTGGTGAAGTCGGCGTCCGCTGTTGGTATAAGGTCTCCCGCTTCATCAGGGTAAACTGGAACACCCTCGTTCGAAGAGGGCTTGTGGCGTCCTCTCAAGCAGCTGGAAATGGACCATATTGCTGTGAAGCCTTCCAGGGAATCCTTACTACTTGACCGCAGGTAACTGACATGTGGATCTTGCTTTATGGAGATGTTTAGGAAAGACCGGGGGCCCCAGGTACATGTAGTATGTACTAGTCAAGGGGAAGGCAAGATGCTTGACCCGAGCCTAGGGAACGGAATGCGGCGTATGCAATGCATCCGGGCGGAGTACGGCGCTAAGGTTGGATAACATGGCTGGAGTGCCGACGATTCAATGTTGCGAAAATGCTAGATACTTGCCTGGCAGATGGAGTACTATTGACCACGCAACATCTCAGTGGCTCGACACCTGATCCAGCACCCCGGGCTGTCAAGCGCCACAGACAAGTTTCGGCTGACCTTGGGAGCCGCACGCACAGCCTTCTGTTGAAAACGACGTTCACGGCCGGTGGCGCAAACAACGACAAGCCGCTGGCGGGCGCAGTTTTTTTTTCCTCACCGTTCTCTTTCCTTTCTCTTCATTTCCCTTTTCTGAACCCGAGAGTCCAGGGTTGTATTTCCACCTTTCCCCGGTAAATGGGGCAAGAGACACATGGAGATGTGATCAGTAGATAAGACGAGAAGCGAGAGTCTGTCACACGGCGTGTTACGAGATTCGCGATCGAAATACGGCAACATGTGGTGTCCCGTCACCCAGGGCCCAGTCAACGCCACACATTCAATCATGGCGTAGACATAGGGCGTACGAAAAAGATCGGCAATGCATCTTTCATCCAGTGTTCCGTCCCATGTCTAACAGCTCCCAGCACATCGGGAATAGAACAAGGTCTGGGCATCCCAAGAGATGAGGTCAGGTGCCCAGATGTAGGGAGTATGGATGCTGTTAGCCGGAAGCTTGCAGACAGGCAAACAAACAAAACAAGGCGACGGTCAAGACGGGGGACGGGAGAAGAGATAAGAAAGAAGGATTCTTTTTTTGTGTTACCGGAAATTAGTTTTCCATCAACGCAATACCATCTCTCAGTCCTTGGCCCGGTCCAGAGCCCTCAATCAGGCAGTATCAACATATGTCATACGCCGCTCGCTCTGCCTTCTTTCCCGCCGAGTCCTGTGCGTGTACTTGCATGCATCTCTGCAGTCCAATCTGCTACATCCGGGAGGGAATAGCTGGATGAAGACGGCTTCTGCATGTTGGGGCCAGGGGCGAGAGTAGCCATAGGAAAAGAATTTTCGCCAAGGTAAGGAGTACTTTGTTCTTCCATTTTGGGCTTGCTGCATGTCTGCCTGTCTGCAAGTATCCTCCTCTAGCGCTTCACTTGCTTCATTAAATTGCAACGTACGGAGAGTACCTGCGAAAAGTGCTCGCTCCCTCCCTCACCGCTTCCACGCCAAACGCGGGAACAGCTATCCATCAGACCGGGGATGCCAGTTCTCCTCAAACAGTTGGCTAACAAAAAAGTAATCATCTTCCCAAGCTCCTTGTTCACGCAGTATATCCCATTCTCGTTCTATGTATCACAACGCGCATTAGCGCCGCCCCAGCAGTCTGGTTCACTGGCATTATTGTACACGGCCTTGGGGGTAGAAGTGGGACTCACTGTGTTCCCTGGCAAACTTCCTCGTCGCATGCACAAACCGAATCTTATCGTCATTTAGATCTGCAAGTGCCCGCAGATCCTGGCCCTTGCAATCCTCCGAGAATGGATACCAACCCTTGTTACAGTAGTGGAAATGAGCCAGAAGAATGTTTGCCCCTAACAGCTCAACAAAACGGCCTGTCGTCAGCAACTGTCACGAAAATTTTCACGGCGGACATGGCTAGAAAAAGACGGCATCTCATGTCTTACCAAGATGGTATTCCTTAACCTTGTCCTCGCGTGCAAATCGACGCTGAGTGTCAATCGTTAGCAAAAAGATTCTCGGCATTGTTCGACCGTCTGATCAGGCACTTGCGAAAAGCGCGCGGGGTCCAAAAAGCCCTGCTGTGGGCTGAAGGAGGCTATTTCTCTCGAGAATCTCTCTCGTATCTTTTTAACTTACTTTAATCCCATGCTTCCTAGCATATGCGGCGTCATGCGCCGTAATTAGTGCTGCATTGTGCAGCAACATGAAGGTCACTAGGTACGTTACAAACCATGTACTTGGCTTGTTCTTGAGAATCATTTTTTGTAACTTGTCCAGCAGCTCGCGTCTGAGCTTTGTTTGGATATGATGAATCAAGACAAGGTCCAACTGTGCACCAAGGACTGGCGGGACAGGAATCTTGCCACTATGAGGGCTCGTGCTGTCTAGAATGTTGTCCGGCATGCCTAGCTTTTCTTCACCAACAATAAACTCCGAGGTCGTCGAAAGTCGAACAGCGACCCATAACCTGAAGGTCCAATCGAAAAGTTGTTTCCAGTCCTCTGGAATTGATGGATCCTGGTACATTTGGAACGCCTGGATATACGTCTTCTTCAACAAACCACAGGAGCGCTCAGCCACATGTTGCAGAGTATCGCCCATAGTATCTCGAATATGCGACATGTATGCTGACTTTCCGTCATCTAGATCCATCAAAGCATAAGGCGGGATTTTCACCGACCTCTTTCTTCCTTCAAAATCCCACGTTCGTTCTAATTTGTCGCCCTCTTGCGGTACAAATTTTCGGACTTTCAAGTCGATACATTTTGTAGAATAGCCGGCTGAGATGCGGATAGACTTGACATCCGATGATGCCCATTTTTGAATCGGATCAGATATGTTGTTGTTCCACCGCCTTGTCCATTCATATCCTGGAACTTGCCCCGGTTTGAAGAGTCGAATGTCGGTAATTTTGTATCTCAGGCATGGAAACCTGCCTGCTTTTGTGTTGGAAACTTTCTTGCAGGTTAGACATGCGCCTCCTGGCTCATCTGGATTATGTTCGCACTAAGAGTTTGAGCACCATTGTTGGTAAGTTATTCATATCTGAACTTCGCCACAAACTACCACGCAATACGCGGCTACAAGTTGGGAGATGAGCTATGACAGAGGTACTTACTCTTATTCGCTGCATTCTGCACCGGATACAAGATCCGATTTTTCTTGTTTGAGCTGTTTGCTCCCGAAGGTTAGGGTCACGGAATGGGCCTCGCTTTCCGCCACGCTGGTTCGGCAACAAAATATCAAAGTTCGACTGTTGAACATGCATATTCGTGTTCGCCCAAGACCCTTGGTGTACAGGATCTATGAGACTTCCAGGAGACACTATCAAGACCGGGGGGATGTCTGCCTGTTGCATCGATTGTGCAACAGATGGATTCATTGGGTTTAGCACATAGCTGGCGTGGACTTGTTCGCTCCGTACCAAGCTGTCTTGTCCGAACACAGGCGAGCTGAGCAGTTCTTGTTCTTGCTTGACAAGTTGATTTGGGAAGATACTAGGAAATATAGTATTGTGAGTGTAGATGAAACCATCCTGCATGAGCTCTGGCGTGGTTTGCAGCTGAATTTCTTGAGCAAATGTTGCATGTGTTGAAGTGTCGTGCGCTGAATCCTCGCTAAAGATTCCATGACTGAAGTCTTTTACGTCAATCAAGGGAAACGCAATGGTTTCCGGTAGCACTTGAGGTCCCACCATTGGTTGTGTTTCCGTAGAGTATGGTTTGCTTGATTCATACATCTCAGGCGGCGCATGAGGCAGAGAGAAGTAGTCTTTTCATCATAGTAGTAAGAGTCAGTATCTAATGATTTTATATAATCAAATGGTAATGTGGGTAAATAGGACACAGAAAAGGGACAAGGAAAGGGGGGGGATCTCATACCATCAGGCTGCTCATCGCCTCCACAGCCACCACACATCATCAATTCGGCCATTCGCCTGGGGAATTGAGCCAAGCTCTGTGAAGTGGGTATCACTGGTTGGGCCCATCTTGGCAAGATGGATTGGGGTTCATGACCGCCCGCTTCATAAAGGCTAACAGGTAAGGCTTTCTCAGAGTGACCCTGATACTCTGTGGAAGAGCATCTCAGTGGCATGGTGCTGGTGTTGGCGTCAAGTTTCCGACGCTTTGCTGGTGCCTGTTCCAACTGGGGTGTATAACGACTTTCAAAGCTAGAAGTTTGGCCATGTGACAGACTGTCCTGCTCAAATGGAGGCTGGTAGTCAAAAGGAAGCTGTTGAAAAGAGTCGACTGAGAAAAAAAGGGGCGGTTGATGTGCAAGCGGCGATGTCCCAATACCAGCATTGGGCTGTGGACGCTTGTGAATTATAGACCGTGTGAGCTCCTATATCTTGAGTCAGCCAGGTGCTTCTGCTAGTATCAGACAAGGAAAAAACACC